CAATCCGAATTGTTAAACGGATTTGCCTTTCCTTTTCCAGTGCTCTAACCAGTTAGTAGGCATTGTCAAAGCTTTCAGTTTTTTTGTTGGTTCCTTATACTGTGTGAAGCGCCTAGGAATGGGTTCAGACTCTCCCTCCACCTTGTACCACTTCACACCACCTCCTTGGCTGGGGTTAAGGCCTCTGGTTGTGGGGGCAGCTGACAGCTGGTTCAGCTTGAGCCCTCGTCTGAGTTCGAGAAGTTGAGGAGAGGTCGCGCTTCTCTCAGTTTAGGCTGAAGGCCTGGAGAAGCCAGCCCTCGAGTCCAACTGTTGGACCATTTCATGGACAGACTTTGGGGTGATTTTTCTGTCTTGTTCATTTTCTTAGCTGCAGGCCAGACACATTCGGCCTGAGCTTTTGCCTTCTGGCCACCAGAAGCCTTGTAAGGCTTTAGGGTGATTGCCATAGCCATTTCTTTGCAAGGTTCGTCGTTCTTTTGGTCAGTTCGAGTTTTTTTTCTTGTTCTATTTGCCATATGACTAAGCAGATCTTTCAGCTTCTCACGTCTCCACCCACCACGGAGTGCAACAAGGGGAAGCTGTGTGTTAGAGTACATTCTCAAACAAGATCTTGGTCCGGGCGCAGGAGCTTAAATACTCTCAAGTTATGCCAGCTACCAGGGAGTGAGGGGAGCCTGCGGTCCAATGAGCGAGCCGGGAGTTGTCCGGGTCAACCAATCAGGGCTCGGCATTGGACATCAAGAAGCTGCTGATGATGAGGTGCAAGGACGCAGCTATGGACCTGGACTCAACCTGGGGGAAGTATGTCGCGCAGCAGGTTGCGGGATCGTCTACATTGTCAAATCACCTTGCCTATACCGCACACGATCATGAAATGTAAAATTCCTACTTCTCTCTGCTCTGAGTCTACATTACAAACATAACCCCACTGGAAGGTGGTCCTACCAAGATGGCTGCCGTAATTTTTTGGCAGTTTCAGAAATGAAACAATAGATGCTAGATCCGTTTTATTTTTGAGATCAGTGACCATATGTCTGTTTACACGGTTGTTTGTGGAGCGAGTGTGAAAGCAATGAAAATATGATAAACACCCCTTTCTCTTCCTGCTTACCAGGAGCACACGTTTCTTAACACATTTGTGAAATAGGGGTCAATGCTTCTGTGATAAGTATCATGCTTCCTCTACTAGTAATAGAGATAATACCCTTGGATAATGGTCTTTCCATCAGTCTAGGTTACCCCCAGAACGTGCTTAATTTTGAGCGAGGCGACGAATTGTTTGTGATGAAAATGCTCGTGTTACCACTACCCTACCAATCGAAATCGTCAGGTGCTGGGAGTAGAATGCAGTTGGTGCATTTGCGTCCGTCTTACACATTAAAAAGCTGAAGATAAATGTAGACAGTTTACTATATCCTTCCGATGTGGTTTTAAAATTCTTTTCTTTAGGACCTGCCGTTGCCAAACGAACTCGAGTCAACGAACTTGAGCAAATCCTCGATCCCCAAAGAGAGGAAAGGTCGGAGAGAAGTGAGCAAAGGCATGTCTTTAAAGGGAGCTGTCAGGTGCGACTCACAGCAAGCAGCAGACAGGGACGAGTCGCGGCAAGCAGTAGGCAAGGACGACTCACGACGACCAGCAGACTGGGATGAATCTCTACAAGCAGCAAACATGGATGAGTCCCCAAAGGAAGCAGGCGAAGATGAATCTTCACAAGCAGTAAGTATGGATAAGCCCCCACAAGCAGCAGACAGGGGTGAATTTCCACAAACAGCAAGCATGGATGAATGTCCAGAAGCAGCAGACAGGGGTGAATTTCCACAAACAGCAAGCATGGATGAATGTCCAGAAGCAGCAGACAGGGGTGAATTTCCACAAACAGCAAGCATGGATGAATGTCCAGAAGCAGCAGACAGGGGTGAATTTCCACAAGCAAAAAGTATGGATGTGTCCCCACAAGCAGCAGACAAGGATGATTAAACACAAGAAGTAAGCAGGGATGCGTCCCCATAGTCAGAAGGCAGGGATGATTATACACAAGTAGCAAGCATGGCCGAGTCCCCGCAAGCAAGCTCGGATGAATCCCAACAAGCAGGGATGAATATACACACGCAATAAGCAGGGGTGAGTCCCCACAAGCAGAAGGCAGGGATAAATTTCCACAAATAGGCAGGAATGTCCTCACACAAAGAAACCCTAGGAGAGTGTCTGAAAGCAGCAGGCAGGGACGAGCCTTCGCAAGCAGTAAGCAGGGATGATTCTCGACACGCGGCCTGGGGCGTGCGAAGCCCTGTTGGTTACCTTCAGGAGAGAGCGGCCAGTGGGCTCTGGCAGTCCCGTCTCTTTGGCTGAAAATGTCTGTCTGTTCTACTGAGAGAGAGAGAGAGTGAACGAGTTTGCGTCTCGCCCAGACCACGAACGTTATACCGTATTTTTAACCCTCTTGTTAAGGTGGCGGGATCGTGTGTGTGTACATATATTATATATATATATATATATATAATATATATATATATATATATATATATATATATATGTGTGTGTGTGTGTGTGTGTGTGTGTGTGTGTGTGTGTGTGTGTGTGTGTGTGTGTGTGTTGTGTGTGTTGTGTGTGTATATGTATGTATGTATATACCTTGATAAGTATATATTCTTATATTCATATAAATCATATATCGTTTATATATCTTCTTTGTCAATGCTGTAAATTTATTGTGATTTTAAAATTACATTCAAACGCTTATCTTTCGCTTAAGACCTACTTTCTGAGAGAAAGAAAACAAAAGTTTAGTCTCTGCATAACTCCATCGTCTGCGCATGACACGTGATGAGGACGCAGAGTGTTTGGAACCTAACTTCACTGTTCTGCCGGTCGAACATTCCGCTCGAAGAGAAGACCAGCCAATGGCACAGAGCTCCCAGATGTTTGGGTTTAAGTCTAATTCTTTCTGTACCTAATTCTTTAGTATAGAATACTTAGAATCCATGTAAAAGGCTAATGTTTCACATAGTAGCAAACTAATCATAATGGCTGTTTATCTAGCTTTATGGAAATTTGATGATTTGATGCATGTGTAGCTTATGATAACGTAACAAAAAGCGATAAACATGTCGATAATATGAATTATTTTCTCATCCTCAAGTTATAAAATAAATAATAAAAAATACAGTTTGATGGATTAATTTTATTCGTCTGCCTATCTCACAATAAAAATATGAATATGTATATGAAAATTTCCAAATCTATTTTGGAACTAAATATATATGAAATCAATTTAACATTGAATGTGTGTGTATATATATGTGTGTGTGGAGGAGGAGGGGGGCGTAGGTGTACACACACATACACACACATATGTATATGGACATATCTGTATATATGTGTATATGTATTCATTTATATATTTATATATACATATCTATCTATCTATCTATCTATCTATATATATATATATATTATATATATATATATATATATGAAATCAATTTAACATTGAATGTGTGTATATATATGTGTGTGGAGGAGGAGGGGGCGTAGGTGTACACACACATATGTATATGGACATATCTGTATATATGTGTATATGTATTCATTTATATATTTATATATACATATCTATCTATCTATCTATCTATCTATCTATCTATATATATATGTATATATATATATATAATATATACATATATATCTTATATATATTTATGTATATATATATATATATATATATATATATATATATATATATATATATATATATATATATATGTAAACCGTATTCATGTTGACAAATGTGGAAAGGTATGAATGACAACGAATACCTTCACAATGCAAGAGATGTATTTAACCGGTTTCGATTATATCTTCGTCAGAAATACATTCATTTGGAAGATATGTCGTGTACTCATTTGAGAGAGTACACGACATGTTTATATTACATGGGAGCTATTAAATCATCTGATGATCGTGACCTCGCGCTCGTTGTACGCATAATTGCTGCCGCGACCTTGGATAGTTTGAATCTACCGGATGTGGTGTTCATGATTTTCTCTGTCGCTATGTATACAGCTTCTGTGACCTTCCTTTTGTATTTGCTTCATCCTTCATGGATTATTTCAGCTTCTTTCCAGTTCATTAGATGTCCAGCTTCAACTGCATGAACCACCATGGCGTGGGAAGGTCTATGTTAACGGATGGCGGTGCGATGTTCGTAGATCCTGGTGTTGAAGCCACGTCCAGTTTCGCCATAGTATGCCTGCAGGGTATGCGGTATACTGCACTGTTGGGGTTGCTTTTCTGTTGTTTCTTTTCTCGTATTAGGTCATGTATCTTTTCCCCGGATATGCTGGCGATGTTCATTGTATTGCCAAAGTATTTGCTGATCGCCTGGGAGAGATTACATGGAGGTAATACGAGAAAATTAGAAGACATCACAGGGTTGGGTCTTGAAAGTATGTTCTCCGCCTTCTTTCTAAGGTTCAGCAGGAGACCTTTGGGGTATTTGTGTTTCATGAAAGAATCAATTACATAGGTAACTTCAATTCCAAGGAACTCGGGGCTGCAAATCCTCAGTGCCCGGAGGAAGAACCCAATCACAATCCCAGATTTCGTTTTATTGCTGTGTGCGGAGTAATGATGATATAATCATCTTTATTCGTCGGCTTCCTGTTTACAGAACAACCTAGATCTTCGTCACCCCGATGGATCAGAGTGTCCAGGAAAGGTAACTCCTGATCCTCTTCTTCCTCCACGGTGAACTGGATTTTCCCGTGGACGGAGTTCAGCCGCGTCAGCATACGGTGTAAACACGACCTTCTGGGGACAATGACGAGGGCATCATCTACGTAACGAAGCCAAGCCGAGTGCCTGCCGATTATATCCCTGTAGTGATCCCTCTCCAGCGTCTCCTTGAAGAGGCAGGCCAGGACTGCGCTCAGAGGGGACCCCATGGCGAGGCCGCTGAGTACTCTTCTTCAGCGAACTCGAAGAAGCCGAAGTTCACACACAACTTCATGAGGCTTATGAAGTGATGCTTTGGTAGCGGAAGTTCGTCATCTACCATGGAGCCGGTTGCCCTCTCGACTGCTCGGATTGCTACATCTGTGGGTACATTTGTAAAAAGGGATTTAACGTCAACGCTGGCCAGTTTTTTATTTTCGTATACAACCCCGCAGACGTCTGAGGAGGTCCGCAGAGTTCTTCAGGTGAGAATCATTGATGTTTATGTATGTACACACTCACACACACACACACACACACACACACACACACACACACACACACACATATATATATATATATTATATATATATATATATATATATATATATATATATATGCACATATATGTACAGTCATGGACTACAGTTCTTCAAACAGCACCAGATCCACACCAAGTAAAAGTGTTGAATACCAAATGGATCTACCACACAAACTTACTCGTTCACGGGATCGGACAACGAGGTCTCTCTCTATGTGTGTATTCAAATACTTATATGTATGTGTGTGGATACACACACAGAAATACCTTTATACAACACACACACACACACATATATATATATATATATATATATATATATATATATATGTGTGTGTGTGTGTGTGTGTGTGTGTGTGTGTGTGTGTGTGTGTGTGTGTGTGTTGTGTGTGTGTGTGTATGTATATGTGTACGTGTTTAAATAAATGTGTATACAAAGGGTCCTCGGTTTACGGCGGTCTCGACGTACGATTTCTAGCGTCGCGACGCTAGAAATCATGTCCAGTATTTACAGTTTGTCTTCCGTGTGTTCCTTTAGCCTTAGTTATGTTTTCATGTACGTCATAGATGTCTTGTTATGTTTTAGATTATGACTTTAGTACATTTATAATACTGCATTAACATATGCGAGTGACCGGTGCTTAAGTACGTACGTACAGTTGCGGAATTATATTTCAGTACACTTTCTGTGTCCCAATTTGTACATCTGGCAACCATTCGAAGTAAACATAGCGTAAATAGTATTTTTGTGAATGAGGCTAAAACCCTAGGTAGTTTGTAACAAAGAGTGTGATTGATCGAATGTAAATAACGAATGAGTATATTAATGAATATTTTTTGAAACTAAGTAAGCCATTTAATCTTACGTTTTCTTCAAATAAGTGATCACAAAATATGTAATACTAGTTATCGTTGATTTTGTAGTTGGATATTCCTCAAATGCGATATCCTCTAAGTGTTTGTTTGTCGAAATGGCAACACATGGTGTGGAGGCGGGATTTCCCCCTTCTTCCAACACAAGAAGTATCAATGATTTTAGCTTCATGCTTTAAATATCTCTGTATAGCAGCAAAATCAAACAAAAATGTGCAAAAGATCTTTGTAAATACTTCTCATAGCTGCACCGTAATCGATCTAGTAAAATGATATACGTTTTTCCTCTTTGGCAGAACCAAAAACTTAATTTGAATAAACAGAAATCATGCTACATTAGATCCTTCTTTACAGAATGCATAGATGCTTCATCATTGTGTGTGTGTGTGTGTGTGTGTGTGTGTGTGTGTGTGTGTGTGTGTGTGTGTGTGTGTGTGTGTGTGTGTGTGTGTGTGTGTGTGTGTGTGTGTGTGTGTGTGTGTGGCGTCCATGGAAATACGAAGTAACTGCTTAGTGACGAGTTATGAAACTGTTTAATTCGTTTCGGTTATTCAGAAAGTCCTTTATCTTGTGCTAAAATCTGATCATAGTCTTTTCTGTTATTATTCCGTAAGTCTTGGCGTTTTTAGAAGGAGGCGCATCCACATTCGATCAGTTGAGCGAGAAAATACAAGTTCGCTTGTTTCAACTCAAGCAACTACAAGCTAGGTGGTTCCAAAGAGGGTGAATAGCAAAAGTCAAAGAACCGACTCTCATTACAGGAGCTGTATGTCTGATATTTTGAAGAAGAAAAAATCAGTTAATCTTGCTCTTTACTTTTATTTGTTGTTTATGCATTTTTTAATTTTCCTTCTTTTTGTCAATACACGCTTGTTTACAGTGTGTGTGTATGTGTGGGGAAAAAATGACATTCTTGTCTTTTATCGCAAAATAAAATCAAAGTTTTTATATGTAATTTTCATTGTGAATTAATAAATCAGACCTAGGCACGGATTCAATAAACAGACAATTATAATTATTTTAGAATATTGACTGAACGCAAAACCGTGGTCGGCTTAACCACGCCTCAACAATGTGTGTATGTATTGTGTGTGAAAGAACTGCACTTATACAGTTTTTAACGCTTTAGTTAGAATCTTTTGATTTATATTTCATATACATTTTGAACCCCTTCTCACACAAATCGCCATGCCATGTAGTTAATAACTAAGACACACACACACACACACATACATATTTATTTATAATTATTTATTTTTATTTTTTCATAGATTATGGGGCATCAGTGAATCGACTAATTGGGGATGTTTATTAATTTTGGAGATATTTTTACAAAAAATGGTAATAACTGTAGAAAGGGAAGACAA